CGACTATGGGATAGAAAGATTAATATCATGCAGCCGCTTCAATCATCGTGGGGTTGAGGCTTTATCATCTTTTTACCTACAAGGCAGATATACAAAGGATTGGTCATTAAAGAAGAACCTCATCACAAATGTGAGTTATGAGGATACCTGATGAACTAATAAATGTACTTTGTTATGGAGGTCTTGTTGAGTTTATCTATCTGCATCTGCACAGCTTACAAATCCACTACTGTGCAGAATACAGAACAAACCATTTTGTCTGAAGTGGTATAGGGCTCCTGCCTAAGCAGGGGGTTGGACTAGAAGACCTCCAAGCTCCCTTCCAACTATTCTATTCTCTTCTCTTCTATTCTATTCTATTCTATTCTATTCTATTCTATTCTTTCTTCATGTCCCCTCCCCTTTTGTAATTATTTAAGTTGGATTTGTGCTAGGAGCCTCAAAAATATTTAAATATTCCAATTGGCAAATTGGCAAATTTCCATTTTTGAAATGCTTCATTTACAATCATTGATAAGAAAAGGGCATGATTAATAGCTAAGATTATTAAAATTGTTCTGTCAGAAAATGTCTTAGTTCTAGGTTGCTTCCCTCCTTGATTAGTTTTCATCCATTCCTTCTTGTCCTGCCTTCAGGTGCTTTGGAGAATAGCTTGACTCCCCCTTCATGGTTCTTCAACTCTCAGCTGAAGAAGCTTCTTGGATGAGAAGTGAAACGTCTTCAAAGAAAATCCAGAAAGTCCAGTTGCCTCTTTGGGTTTGCAAGGAAATGGGAAACTTGCAATCCTCAAAAAGTTAGGTTTCTATTCAGAGTGGCCTTGTGTCCTCATTCTCTCAGCAGGGTCAAAAACAAAGGGCCAGAAAGAAGATGGAATTGTTACCATAATAATACACAGATTGGAGATTGAATGGAAATTCATTGAAACATAATTTATTATTATGTTACTAAATTAAAAGGGTGGGGTTGCAATCTCACTATAGAGAATTATGCAAATTAGAATGACCGCGTGAGTGGATACATCAACCAAGGATTTGAATATTGCAGCATATTATGTACTTGGTCTGGTCAGCTGTGAGGTTCTATTAACTTCTGGTAAAAAAAAATTTTTTGCATCTTTATCAACATTCCTTGGCATTCTAAATGTTTTATAGGTGAGCTGACATGGTTTATTGTTTGTCAAATCTATGGCAAAGGTGATTTGGAGAGATGGGGTGATTTACTTGCCTTCAGCAATGCCATTTTTTCTACTACATGGCAAAACCTTCATTGCTAAGAACTTTGTAAAGGAAAAGCATGATTTGGAGGGCCTATTCTTTCTCCTTGATATTCCAGCATTCATATGAAGTGGTGCTCAGTATTCAAGCCTGTTAAAAGCTCAAGAATTGCTCCTTGCACTGAGCCAGAACAGGTAGTCCTTGACTTACCATTCCTTTAGTGACCGTTGGAAGTTACAACACTTTAAAAAATTGGCTTGTGACTGTCACAACATCTCCACAGTCATACGATCGAAATTCAGGTGTCTGGAAACTAGCCTGCATTTACGACTTCGCAGCATGGCCAGGGTCAAGTAATCTGTGAGCTTCCCAGCCAGTTTCCAATAAGCAAAATCACTTAATGACTTTGGATTCACTTAATGACCATGTTATTCACGTAACAGCTGCACTCAACAACCATGGCAAAGAAAGGTTGCAAAATTGGGCACAACTCACAACTGTCTTGCTCGTCAACAGAAATTCTGGTCCTGCAATTGGAATACTATGAGGCACATCCCGAAAAACAAATGGCTTTGATGTTTTTAGATGCACAGAAAGCCTTCGACAATGTGAATTGGCAATTTATGTTACTATAGTTGGAGCAGATGGGCTTTTGTAAGAAATTTATTCAAGCCATAGAAGCAATATATCATAAACAAACTGCAAAGATAATGATAAATGGTGAATTGACAGATTTTAGTGATATAAGAAAAGGGACTAGACAAGGTTGTCCACTGTCACCTCTGTTGTTTGTGTTAACATTAGAAGTGTTGAACAGAAATATTAGACAGGAAAAAGATATAAAAGGAATGAAAATTAAAAAGGAAGAATACAAATTGCAAGCATTTGCAGATGATCTGGTTTTTATTTTAGAGGATCCATTAGAAACAGCACCTAAATTGATAGAAAAGATAGAGGAGTGTGGAAAGGTAGCAGGCTTGAAAATAAACAAAGGTAAAATGAAGATTTTGACAAAGAATATGTTAGTAAGACAAAAGGAAGAATTGGCTGAAGTTCTGAAGATCCAGGTCACAAATAAGGTTAAGTATTTAGGGATACATTTGACAGCAAGATGTAGTACACTCAAAGAGGTTAACTACCATAAACTCAAACAACAGATTGCAACGGACTTGGTAAAATGGGAAAATTTACAATTATCACTAACAGGGAGAATATCAACCATTAAGATGAATATATTACCTAGAATTTTATACTTGTTCCAGACAATTCCAATTAGACTAGGGAAAGATTATTTTGAAGATTTAAATAAAATAATGTTGAAGTATATTTGGCAGGGAAAGAAAGCAAGAATAAAATTAAAACTGTTGCAAGATGCTAGAATAAGAGGAGGATTTGGTCGGCCTAACTGGGAATTATATTACCAGGCGACAAATTTGATGTGGGTAAAAGAATGGATAACGTTAAGAAACAATAGATTATTAACATTAGAAGGACATGATTTGCTGTTGGGATGGCATGCTTTCTTATGGTATAAGGGAACTAAAACGCAGGGGTATTTTACAAGACACTATATACGAGAGGCATTGCTATTAAATTGGGAGAAGATTAAAAAGCAATATTATTTAAAAATCCCACTTTGATTATCAACTATTGAAGCATTTTTATATCCAATAACATATAAAAAGGAACAAACAGATATGGTGAGATACTGAATGGAAAGGGTGAACTTAAATTTATGCAAGAATTAGAAGAACAAGGTATAAGGATGAATTGGTTTTCATATGTGCAAATACACTCTAGACATGACAAAGATCTTAAAACAGAAGGTTTTTATGATAAGTTGACTGAATTAGATAAAATTTTGACCGGTACTGATGAAAAGATAATTAAAAAACTTTATGGACATTTACTAGAATTTAAGCTAGAAGAAGAGCAAGTTAAAGAAACGATTATTGCTTGCGGGAAAATTTTTGGATATGGGATTGATTTAGAGAAGTGGTGAAAACTGTGGTCTCAAAACTATAAAATGACAATGTCAACAGCATATAAAGAAAATTTGTATATGTTTTACAGGTGGCATTTACCCCCAACCAGAATTGTGAGAATGTTTAAGAATAAATCTGAAAAATGTTGGAAATATCATCAGATACCAGGTTCATATTACCATATGTGGTGGACGTGTGCAGAAGCAAAAAGATATTGGACTAAAATCCACACATGGGTGGAGAAAATGATAAAACAACACATAGACTTTGTCAGAGATATTTTTATTGGGGATCTTACTGGAAATATACAATAAAGAGCTGAAATATTTGATTGTAAATGGATTAACAGCGGCTAGAATTGTATTTGCTAAAAATTGGAAAAATGAGAAATTGCCAACTCAATAGGAAGTAATTAAGAAAATTATGGAATGTGCTGAAATGAGTAAATTGACATTTGAAATTAGAAAACAAGAAGATAAACAATTTTATAAGATATGGGGTTTATTTTATCAATGGTTAGACAAAAAGACACGGAAATGAAATATGTTAGAAAATTTTACAATATAAGAATGATATAGAATACAATATAAAAATGTATAACCATTGGATGAATGCATAACATAAATACATATAAAATTTAGAATATCTCAGATAAAATGATAAAACAATAGTTTAGTCAAATGAATGATCAATAACTGATAATATATAAATATATGCTAGATTGATAATATGAGAATTTATATAAATAAGTGAAGACTATGGAGAGGACGCACGAAAGATTTGTAACCAACTGACACACTATATGTATGCAACTTGAAGATGGTTTTATGTTCTATGTTTTGTTTGTGTAAGTTTGTCTAAAAAAAATTATTAAAAAAAAGAAAGAAATTCTGGTCCTTGGTTGTGGTTGTAAGACAAGCAGGACCTACCTAGCATAGTTTTGGCCTAGAATTGGCGACACCCAGATTCCAATCCTCCCTCAACCATAAAATGTCATAGGATGATTGTCAGAATGTTTGCAGCATGACTACTACTGTGAGATAACCCAGGAACAAAACACAGCACACAGACGCTTTGTCTTTTAACAATGGCTTATATACAAGACAAGCTATATACATACATATACGTGGTAGGCAAATACCTGGCAAACTATCAGTCTTCATCACTCTGCACGGAGAACTACAATGGAGATAGAACATAAGGAGAAAAGAGACACCCTCTCATGGCCGCCTTTATATAGACAGCTTCTTAAAGCATCAATAACCCTGCTGTCTCATCCTCATTGCATCAGCATTTACAGCAGCCTGACAACAGCTGGTCAGCTATTAAATCTTCAATACCTTAACTTCAATACCTTCGGGCCAGTCAAAATGTGAAGGAAGTGATGCTGGCTTGTGTTCTTCAAGGAAAGGTGGGATACAATTCTACCAAACAAACACATTGTTTACTGAGTGCATCTCTCTCAACCACCTCAGATTCAAAAGCAGGACACAAAGACAATTAGCTACCTTGTGATATTGTTGCTCAGGAGTGTACTGTAGTGTTTCTGTAGAGTGATATTCCACTCTATCTAAACACTATAGACAAGACTGTTGTACTGTAAGCTTTGTTAGAAAAGATAGATCGATTCTCTATTAATCTTTCTGGAATGGTGGTGCAAAAATTTGTTTTCTCTAGATCCTCACCTCCTCTGCTGCCTACTAAGTATCTTGAGTTGTAGCTCCCATTGTACCAGCCAGAGAAATCAAGATGGAGCTGATAGGGGTGGCAGACCTTGCCTGTCTCCTGCCACCTGGCACTTCCTGAACCTCAGGCCACCTTCTTCTGCTTGGCTGAGCCACAGACCGATTTGTAGAATTCCAAGAGGAGCTTTGCAGATGTCCTGGGCCTCTCGAGGGTTATGAAGTGACCACATTTTTCCAGCCAATGCACTTGGGAATTAGGAATGGCAGCTGCCAGAACTGCTGCACCCGAAGAATCAAAAACCTACGCAACAAAGAAACGTTACATTTTCCTCTCCCCTTGAAAGTCTTTATAAAGTACATAGAAAGGATCTTCTGCTTTGAAAGCTAGTAATGAATTTAGCCATGTATTATGCATAGTATTGTTTCTTCAAGGACAGTCATTAAACTTGAACTTCCCTTTATTAAACCTTTTAGGTAGGTATCAGGATAATGTGGATTCTCTTGGCTTAAGTCCTGTGTAAAATCTTAGTTCTCATCTTTTCTTACAGCAAGAGTTACTTAAACTAGAAGAATTAAGATGATCATACTGATCAAGTTACTAACCAGCCATGTGAAAGTGAAGTGTTCCTGTTTGGTGAAAATTACCATTATTATTCCTCCTCCTCCTCCTCCTCCTCCTCCTCCTCCTCCTCCTCCTCCTCCTCCTCCTC